CCAGCTCAACCCCCACAACCACATGCAGGTCTGGGGAGGGGAGGCGGGGGGGTGCGGTCTGTGGGCGGTGCTGCTGATGCCCCTTTCTTCACATTTATGTGCTTCTGCGGGGGCTGTCTCTGGTGTTGGCTGGAATTTGAGAGCGACCTGAAAGCAATTACAGCATTGTTGAGCTGATGTTTCTCTGAAATCTGCCTGGAAGATCATCATGTGAATTACACTCGTTGAGTGGAACAACAGCAAAATGGAAATGTTAGCAAAACTTCCTTTTATTATTGTCATTAAAGGGGGAAAAGAAGCATGTGAGAAAATCAGCAACATCAGCAACATTTGCTGTGGTTGGTGTTTACCCTTCTCTATCTGCTGATACGGATGCCGATTTAACTAAATCCCTCAGTTGCCCAGTGGCTCTTTGTCTACCTGCAGCGTGCCTTCCCTGTTCGCTGCTGCTCCTGCTCTGGTTCTCCGTTCGCTTGTGTTTTTCTCTGGTATATAAACAAGAGTTATTTGCCAAGGTGGACTGCATCTGCATATTATCTATGCAAAGTTCAATGCAAATGTTAATAGATGTTCACATAATGGATATCTGTGCGTATTCTGTTAGTCTCATGATTAAATGCAAATACCGGTTGTTTCTTTCACATTTCATCAAAATGTGTATTTCAAATCCAAATAATAGCATTGTATTTCATGTGCACTTTGTTTGAAGGCATCAGGGAGCTGGTCTGTCCCCTGTATTTCTCATGATTCAGCCACTCAGAATCACAGTCCTTCAACTTTTTAGTTGTGTTTTTATGTAACAGCTGGCTTTGATATATTACTTTAACTTACATAAGTATTTTTTTTTTTCCCCTCAGCTATATTCTTCCTCTCTTGATGGCAGCATTAAGCTATGGGACTTCATGGACGGGATTCCCATTAAAGTATGTTGAATTATTCCTGTTGAGCACATGTCAAAATTGTTCTTGACATGTTGATAGTAAAATAAGGATTTCAGCAGCAATTACTACAAATGGTCACAAATCAGTCCGAGATGTGTTTTTTTGCCACTAACACAGCTTGAAAGCCATTGATTTATGGCAGTACTAGAATGTGGCAATTGAGGTGAAATTCATGGTGATGCAGAAACGTTTTGGGAAAAAGATGGGACACGTACTGACATACTAACTTTGCTACTTGCTGCAGTCCAGAGTCCAGTGTAGCTCTTGGGAAGCGTGCTGCAGTTTGTGATATGCCAATAGGCAGTGATATGATGGCTTGGAAATGTGGGCTGCTAACTGTCCTGTTGCTCCTGTTTTCTGCTAAGTAGAGGCACTTCCCTACAGGTGGGCCTTCTGCTTTCTATTAGGGGTAAGGTACCTTCAGGTTTTTCAGGAAATCTGATATCTCATATTTTATTAGTACTGTTTTAACATTTATATTAGTCCTTGACAGAATGAAGGTCTTTTTATTTGTCTCAGAATTGAGAATTTTAATTAATATAGCAAGGTTTCTTTAAAGTACCTATGCTTCCCTCATTGTAAAAACTTAGCATTATTCACTGTTGAAAACTGTATGCACAAGCATAATAATTGTTAACCTCCTCTTTTTTTTTTTTTTTTCTTCAGACTTTTGCTGTAGGATCCAAACTCCTGGCACTGTACGCGCTTGCTAGTTCTGAGGACTCGGTGTTTGTTGTAATTCCAAAAAGTGGTGAAAGAGGTACAGTACAATTAGCATCATCTTTGTCATCTAAGTCATTCTATGTTTAAACTGCTATCATGTCAGTGAACAGAATGCTGCAAGAACATGCTTTGATATATTGATTTTGAAAATATTTCTTAAATCCTATGACAGGTGTCTGCAGTCCTGCATTTTGTACCTTTTTTCTGTTTTCATTCTATGGCATCTATTTTTTAATATTTTTCTAGAAAAGTGCCTGTCTTCACTTTTGAAATATGTACTGCCTGTGTCTGATGTTGTAGGCGCAATAAATCTTTAAGCGTTGCTTACCATGATGCAGGGTATGCTACAGTATTTGAGACTATCCTTCTACTTTAAGCAGTATTGACATAAATAGACTTGTCCTATTTAACAGTATGTCTAGATTTTTTTTTGCATAGAATTTTGTCTGAAATAGCAATATAGTAAAAGTAAGGTCAAGCTATATTTATACAAATGTCACTTTGGAGCAAGAGCAAACACTATGCAACTTTGCTTGGTTTCTGCTTACAGTTGCACTGGTATCCTCCATCTAGTCCTCAATCTTCAATACTATTGCTTGATTCAAAATATTTGAAACAATTATTTTTTGAAAGGTCTTACAAACTTTTTAAAACTTTTAAAAAATATTGGAAGGCATTAACATGTTAGTTTTAAGGTAGAAGGGGTTTAAATCTCCTCTGTAAGGGGCGTACATAAACTTGTTCATAAAATCCTTTTGATAACAGATTTTTCTTTGGTCAGATACATTCCAGCTGGTCTCAGTTAAGCTGACAAAAGCAGCAGGCCAAGATTTGGAAGCCAAGGAACTGTCAGTGGTTTTGGATGGTGTGGATGCCTCACCGAAGCGTATTGCATTTGGAAGAGAAGTATATTCACCTTTTAGGGTTTTTTTTCTTCTGTTCAGTGTTGGTTGATTGGGGGTTTTTTTTCTTGTCAAATGCACGGTATGGTGCTTATGCATTTATACAAGCACAGCAGCACTGAAACAAAACTGAAGTTAAATGAATCTGTGTAAGACCTATGGTTTTTTTAATTAAAAAAAAAAGAAACAACGCTTATAATAGGAAAATACTTAACATCATCTTACATGTTATCTCCGATTTTAAGTACTTTGTAGTGAAGCATCATTTTTTTTCTTTCATATGTAAGAACATAATCTGTAAGTCCTAAGTTGTTGTTGTTTTACTGTAACAGGGTGAATATGTGGCAGCAGTGAAGGAGGTTAATCTCCAAGTTTATTTTTTTAAGCGGAAACAATTGAGTAGGTAAGAATGAAAATGTCAGGTATTGATTCAGTCTGATGTATCATAAATGTTTGTTAACTGGTGGTGCTGCACACATTATTTTATATTTGTCAGCAACCATTCGGTTTTATGCTGGAGGGGATGTAGTCAGTATATAAGAAGCTTCCCATAGAGGCAGGCAGTGAGGTGCTGCAGTTGCATTGGTACTTATCTTTTCAGCTCAGGCATGTAATTTTTTCAGGTAAATGCTTAGGCTGATGCTGGACTGAAACAAGTGGCATAGCTTGGTCAGGGCCAGAACAGGGGAAGGGGGAGGAAGGTGGGGTGGAAGGAAAGAGAGAGAGAGAGAGAGAAAGAAGGAAAAATCTTTCAGCTTGATCGAAGGCAAAGAACTAATGACATAAAAGAGAAAAATAAGTCTGTCGCTTTTTGGAGGGTGCGTGTAACTACAACAACTTGGAGATGTTTAATTCTGCTAGTCAGAATTATTTTTAAGTGCAGTAGCTGATCTTTTGAAGCTTTGTTTAAAAAAAAAACAACCAACAAAAACCAAGTAATATAATTAAAATTACTTTCTTAACTCTTGAAGGTTTTCTGTAAGTGCAGTGAAGACAAAAAGTGGAAACAATCACTTCACTTGCATAGCATGCCATCCTACGGAGGACTGTATTGCAACTGGCCACGCTGATGGAAAGATTCGCCTCTGGTATGCACATTTTGATTCAACTGTGTCCCCCATAAACTGATGTGACCATAGGAATTAAGTGAAACCTGAGAAAAGCAGTCTAATTAGCATTGCCATTTTCAGAAGCCATAATGAGCAAAGAATGGCAAGCCCTGTGAACTTGCAGTACTGACGCTGCCTTCAGCGTACAGCTTCAGTTTAATGTCAAATGGGAAAATATTCCTGTTAAGATATGCTCCACGAATCTAAACTATTTGAAAAAGGTAACACAGGAGCAGCTGAAACAACTCTTTAGGGGCAAGTAGAGTCCTAGGAGAGCACAGTAGTGGAATTGTGTGGTTAAGAACAATATGCTTGCCAAGTTGCTCTATAGTGCTGAGTTGCTCAGCATGTGTCCAAGATGCATGGTGTGCATCAGGAAGGTGCTGAAAAACAGCTAGCATGGTTCCTTCCCTCCCTTTGTCTCACTTGAGCATACAAGAAACTGTAGTCTAGAAGTTAGAGGAGAGGATGGTATACTTGAATCAATTCAATGTTTCTTTTCATTTGCTCTGTTATTGATGTTCTGCTTAAAGAACTGTTCTGTTCCTCCACACATAGGAGGAATTTCTGCCACAAGAAAGAGTACACATTTTCCACACTGCACTGGCATCATGATGCTGTCATGGATCTAGCTTTTTCTATGGAGGGTGAGTAAAAAAAACAAAGTAACTTCTAGAATTTTAAGTACGTCCAGAAAGAATCTGAAATAAAAATGGAAGTAGTTGTTATTTTTTATATATTTTGATTGGCATTCATAATGTCAAATGTCTACCTTCTGTGGTAGAATGTAAAATCTAACCCCTCCTTTTATCTCTTTTCCTCCACCTCTGCTCCTCCCCCCCCTCTTTTTTTTCATCAGTAATAGTGATGAGTTCTGGCCAGAGTCTTACCGGCATCCGAATAAAACAAGTCAGTCTTGTCAGAGCTGAAACCTAGTGGCAAAAATACAACTAACCTTTATCTGAATTGTGTGATCTGAAGTATTGTCCTTGGGATATTTCTTACTGCAAAGTACTTCTGATTAGAAGGAGAAAAAATCAGCTATATTCTAACACAAATACTCAGCTGATTGAGAAAGTAATGGGATCTACTACTCCCAAAGTGTAAATTTTACTGCAGGTGCAAATTCTTGTTACTTATTCCAGTTTTCTCTAGCAATTTAATGTGGGATAATGAGAAACATAGCTATGTGTATCGCCCAGGCTAGCTATAAGGAATAACTGATTTGTATGTGACAGTTTTTGAGAAACCTATGTTTGTCTGTCATTGTAAACATGTATGCTGATGATTTTTTTTTTTTAATTTTTTTTTTTTTTCAAAACCTGTAACTGCATTTTTATTACCGGGAAAGGAACCAGCTTGCTGAGTGGTGGAGTTGAATCTGTTCTAGTTCTGTGGCACAATGAATCACACTGTCAGAAGGATTTCCTTCCTCGTTTGGGATCTGCTATTGAGTACATCTCCATGTCACCTGATGGTGCACTCTGTTGTACCTTGCATACAGACAACAGTAAGCCAAAACATAATTTAAGTATCACTTAATGCAAAATGGAATGCAAATCTGTATGAGCTTTATTTTAATTTCAGATTAATTAATAGATATTACGTAAAAGTTCAATATCGATCTGAAAGAACAGACTGAAGTTATCTTTTGCTCTTTCATCTGTTCTGTGAATTTGTCTGATGACTGCTGTAACCTGGCTTTCCACCTTGGTGTAAGGGGTGTCATAAATTGAGAAAAGATACATTTATAGGATTAAGTACAGTTGGTTAAGGTCCCTTCCCCACCATGAGATGTGGTTATGTTGCAGAAGCCTTCTGCATGACTTTATCTGCTTTTCCTTTCAGGAATTACAATAATCAACAGCAACCTAAGATTTTCCAAAAGTATTCAAGGGCTAATCAAAAGTAAGTGCAATAAATTTTATCTTCCATGTAGAGGGCAGAATGTGTCGTTTCCCGTCTTGGGTCATTTGTCATTTTACACTTGTTTCCAGGTACGGATGTCAAAACTGGTCTAGTGGTTGACCCTAGAACCAAAGCTTTGGTCCTGAATGGAGAGCCTGGCCACTTGCAGTTCTATTGTCTCCAAAGTGACCAACAGCTATTCAGTGTAAGTTGATGGGCTTGTACTAAAACTTTGATCTTGCTATGTTATGCATTGGAATTTATTTGAAGACTTAATATGGCAAACAGGAAAAAAGCCAGCAGCTGTACCGTGAGACTGGATTCTAAGATCAGATGGTTTTAGCTTTGTCGCAAACTTGTTAAGCATAGCTAAATGTTGACAGGTGAATAAATACTTCAAAACAGTGTGCTGTTCCTGTTAAATGTCAAAAATTTCTAGGTAAAATCCCTCTAAAATATATATATATAATTTTTTTTTCCTTTCCTACACTTAGCCTTACTGGGGAATTTATACACCCTAATTATGCTTTCCCCACATCTTTTTTTTTTTTTTTTTTTTTTTTTTTTTTTTTTTTTTTTTTTTTATACTACAGTCTGGTCAGTTCTAATTGATGCTTTCAGAACATCTTTTCTCCATGGTTTTATGAATGATATCTCTAAATCTACACTTGAATTCTGAAACTTAATTTTGGTCTTGTTGTTTTGCAGTTGGATATTCTGCAACGACAATACATTCATCAGGCAGGTTTAAACCAAGCTGACTTGGTAAAAGTTGCGTTTAGTGCACAAGGCAAGTGGTTAGCAACAGTAGAAGAGAGAGAAGAAGTAACTGACCCTGAGTTACAGTTGAAGCTGTGGTTCTATGATGAGGAAACACAAAGGTAATGATAATAGAGCTGGCCTTCTAGGTGTCAAAATCTAAAGCATCGCACAAATATCTACACAGGCTTTGTCTTGCAAAGGCAGAGTTTTTCCAGATCAGCTAATAAAATTCTGGGGAAGACCCTAGGGAGAGTTTACCACACATGCCACAATGCATCTGAAGCAATGCACAGAGTTGAAGTAAATACAGATTGGAAATAATTGCTCTGAATCTAATTCAATTCCATTAATCAGACAGGCTATTTTAACCATGGGACTTAAATTCATGTATTTATTTGGTATTAAAAATCATGGACTTGATGGAATGGTTCTATAGCTTGTTTAGTTTTCCCACCTCTGTCTAATCCATCATTAATTTATAGACCTTCTAGGGTACAGAAGATTATGACTTTATTGTTGGTTTTTTTCTTTAGCCAACATATGCATCTGGTTCATACGCTTTCCCTGATTTTCTTATTTACCAAAACCAAAAAAAATTATTTTTACTATAAATTGCTATTTTCTTAAGGAAGAAACAAAGCAAAATAAAGCTGATCTGTGTAGTAGCTATTGACTGGTTGTTTAAATACTGGAAAGACTGCCCAGAGTTCAGGCTGAGTATTTGAGTGATGCTTTTTTATTAGTATGGAAGTCATTAGAGAAATGCAATCTGTAAATGCAATACTATTTAGCTATGTAATTAGACAGAAGTTTCTTTGATTCCCCTTCTTCCTACCCCTTCCAGAATCATCTTAGACTGAAATCTTCCACAAGTTCAAAGTGAAATAAAATGGCAAGCTTCTGTTCTCTTTTCCTATAGTTTTAAGCTGAATACTAGAATAAATATGCCCCATGAGGACCACATAACAGACATGTGCTTTCGTGACATGGAGGAATTAGAAGATGACTCTCTGATACTGGTAACAGCTGGCAGAGATTGTGTGTTTAAAGTCTGGGTGATGGTAGAAGACACTGATCCAGAGGGTAAGTATGGTCAAAATGCAATTTACTTTTACTTGTCTACCTTGTAACATCCTATAGAAATTCTGACCCTAACTTCACCCCTTCAGAACTGGGCCTCGAGTCCCATGCATTTATCTGTTTCTGCTGGTGCATGGGGTATTGTGTTCTCCTGAGCCTCCTCTATGATAGACTTCTCCCACATTTTGCAGTATTACGGATTGATATGGAGGTTCCTGAAATAGCAGAGACCTTGCTGAGCCTGCTGCAGAAGGGAAAGGCAACCTGTGTTGACTTGTTTAAAGGATTGTTTGTGGTAATGATTTTCCCATGCTGGGAAAATGGATCTTTGTCATTCCTCTGGGCAGTCTTTTTATTTGACACTTAACAGTTAAAGGAGCAGGATTCAGAAATGCGTTATTCTGTTCTAGTTGACTTAGTGTAAAATAATAGCACTTTGCCATTCTGCAGCTCCACCACTTCAGAGTTCATTTTTCAAACATCCTTCCTTCCCATTAGATATTTGAATGTCCTAGAATGGATATTTAGGATCCACTTCCAAGATGCTTAAGTAACCAAATTTCATCTCTCAAAGTGCATGCTGATATTCACTTGTTTCAAACAGAACATCTGAGGGATGCGTATTAACCCGGTGTGCCTTTGGATGCGAAATACAAAAGATTTCCCGCTTCTTAATTTCCTTTTACTTAAATGTATTATGTTGCCAGGCACATTTAAGTGAGCTGGAACTTTCCTGCTACTTCGGTGTCATTATCTTTTCATGTTCCCAGATAGATGTGGTAGTGGTCTGGCTGAACTGCTTGCAGTTTAGTAACATGTTTCTGTTTCCATGGGCTGGTGAGAACATGGTCAAAAGTACTTTTCAACTAAGAAGGTTTCCATTTGGCAAACTTACTTTGCCAAACTGACTTTCTCTTTCCAAGCTGTTTGCTCCTCAACAGTGGCTTCTCATGAGAAGAAACACAAAAGCTTGTAGTCACTTACTAGGACTTATGCATATCTTTACTTAATAGCAACTCCCTCGATGGTATCTGAAAGAGGGGTTTTTTCTTGTTTCTTTTTTGATTGTAAATTAGTCTAAGCCTAGATTATATCTTGGCTTAATGAGCAGATACTTTGTAAAGTGTGGGCTGGGGATGAAACCTAATGGGGTCTGTTTCCTTCAGCAAGATAGTTTTGTATCTGCTGACTGGCCTCATCAGGGTTTTCTTTCTGTGTTACTTTTTTGTTTGGTTGGTTTTTAAGTGACTATACAGAGTTACACAGTTCTTTTTCATGGCATGTGTAAAAGTGCAAATTAGTCTGGACTTCTGTGGTGTATTTGCCCAGGGGCGGCAGGATAGGAATGCCCAGGTGGAAAGACTCAATGTGCTGCAGGCTTCTGTGCAGCAAATATTAATAAACTAATCAGTTCATATGTAGAATACACTCTGGCACGTTTTTATTTGCAGCAGATCTCTCACTGTGCCTGTAGATGGTGCCATGCAGTTTAAAGTAGTTGAATTGTTTCTGGCTTTTTTTACAGGCAGTTCTTTTAATCATCAACTTGTAGCCATTATATAAAGGATGTCTTAGCATAGGGTGAACTTATTTTCCTTTCTTTCCTCATCCTACTCGTATGTTTCAAAAGCACACTGTATGAACGTGTTTATACTGGGAAATGTATGTTATGTGGTAAGTACATCACTTTCCTTCTGTTTATTTTATGGCAGTTATCAACAATGGGAAAGGTATCCCAGCTGAATGGATTGGCAGGTTAACCAAGACAAGGAAGCATGCTGATGGGTCACTTTGTGATCCTCAAACTTCATGTAAATGAACCATGAGCTGCTTTGGATTGAAATGTGTTCAAATTTTTAGTAATGCTCGTGTTCTTGCTGCAGTTTTAAAATAATAGTATATTTCAGAACACTAAATGTTGAATCTACTTCAGTATCTTTTTTTTCTTTTATCTGACATTTGCCTATTTGAGAGTACAGTTAATGTAGTGGGAAAAGTGAACATGAATATTGTACCATGTCAGTCTCAGGATTCCCTGTTCAGATGCAAAACTGAGGACAAATGGAAAACCTACTAGATGTTTCTTGCACTAGAATAGGACAGATTCTCTGTACCCCTTAAAAATGTAAGCCTTCTGAAACAGGCTCAAGAGCAAGAGAGTTTTGTTTTGCAGCCCTAATACTTGAATTCTTTTTTCTTCACGTATAGACTTACTTAATTAACTAGCTTTTTTATTCAATGCAGCACAGCAAAGTGTGAGCTGGAGCTGTGACTTTGTAGGCAGCTACCACAACTACCAAGCTACTAACTGCTGTTTCTCAGAAGATGGCTCTTTGCTTGCTGTTAGCTTTGAAGAAACTGTCACCGTATGGGATTCAGTTACTTGGGATCTTAAGTGTACATTTTGCCACCCACCTGGAAAAATAAGGTATGTTTTTAATCTGGCTTTTTATGGCTTGCTTGAATGCTTGGAACAGAAAGAATCAATTCATTGTAGTCCAAGACCTCATATATGTTCATATAAACATTGAATTAAACAGTCTTAAGCTCACTTACAGAAAAGACTCTAAAATGGCTCTTAGGTGGCTGGGAACTTACTGTTAATAAGATCAGTCTTTGCAGTTTCATCTTCTTCCTTGCTTATGATTCCCGTACCTCCCATACTCAAATATGTATCATTGGGCACACAGTAGCGTGTTAATAGCCCTTCTCTTTTCCTCATTAATCTAGGACGAATCAAAGTACTGAAAAAGTATAAATTTAAGAAGTTTGTGCTTTTTGCATGTACACATGCGTACAAATAGAAATTATATCAATAAACCATAAAGCCATATCAACCTTATTATCTGCATTATAAAAGACATATCTTGATCCTTGCTGACCTCTGTTGGAAAAAAGCATATTTGCCTGGTAGACTACCCCAGCATGCTTCATTATGTACTGCCATCCTGAAGGTCTAGATACCATTCTGTTGTGTAAGGATAACGAGGATTGGCATAGGTTAATGGTAGAGAGAAAAGATAGAGACTCAAAGAATAGGACAGCCTTAATATTGAGCTTACTGGACTGTGCAGATATACAGCAGTTTCTGATCCAAATAAAGTATCATTTTTCTCATTATAGTCTTGGGAAAAACAGGGCAATAGCTGACCTTGCTGGTTCATCTACTTAAAACTCTGTGCCAGATCTCTGTATCTAAACAATTTCAGAAACAGGAAGATGCTACAAACCTACTGTAGCATTCTCTTTCAGTGCCAAGGATTTTCTAACTGCTTCTCAAACTGGCTTCTCAAAGTCATTACTGCAGTAACGTTTGTAGAAAGATATAGAGATTTCTTGCTTCCATCTTTTTGTGTTGAAGTTTGTAAGCTTTTCTTTTGTGTGATCAAGTCCATTTTATTTATATTGGTCCTCTAAGATTAGAAATTGAGAAACATGATTCTAAAACTGGTCTGCAGAAAAATCGTAGGAGGCATGTCAGCCACATCCTTGCTGTATCTGTGGAGAACACTTCTCTTGACAGTTTGGCATGGTGGCAAGCTTTTCCCAGGCAGCTGTTTCTTTTGTAGCCCTTACTATATGCCATAGTAAAAGAAAACAAGTTACTCTAGGACTATATGACCTCTAAAGGTCTCTTCCAACCCAAAGCATTCTATTGATTCTATATTAATTGCATAACTTCAAAGGGCTATGTTTTAATATAAATATGTTTAATATAATACATTATTATTATTATTATATGTCCCTTACTAGCTTTTTTGAAAACATTCTATAGCATTAGAAATCTGTTCTGTTATTCTCAAACAAGAGAATGAGAAGTTAAAGTGAAAACAAATCACACCCTTCCTTCAGTCGGAGCAGCCTATAATAATAATCTATTTTTTTATTACTCTTCTCTTTCTAGTGATTAGAGCAATAGTAGGAATTCTTTAAATATGGAATTTATTTTCCAGTCCCAATGTGAACACTTACTAGTACTTATGGGTTTGTAACTTAATTAAGAGCTTAAAATCACTTGTTGAAATGGGAACATTGTAGGAACATGTAATCCTTATAGATTTATGCATACTTTTAAATCTCCCAGACCTATTTGGCTGTTGTGCATGAAGTCATGTCACTAGAGGTGAAAGCAAAAATCCCTTGATTTAAATATCAGAATTAAACCTTAACTGAATGTTTTTTGACTTGTGAATCATTACTACATAGAGAAACAAAAATGCAACCTGAAGGTCATTAACTTGTTTTGACTTTTACTTCTGTAGGAACATCTGCTTTGGGAGACTAACGTGTTCCAAGTACCTTATTGGTGCCACTGATTATGGCTTTCTATGTTGCTGGAACCTGCTCAGTTGTACATGTAAGATCAGCTTAAATGTATACTAAAGTGGTAACATTTAACACTTGAATTTGCTATGAAACCTTAAAATAATTCTAGTTTGTTTCCAGACTGATCCACAAGAAAATATATTATGGAAATGTAATGGTTTTCATACTTCAGTCAAGACAGTATCCTGTCCAGCATGCGTGTGCATTATGTTCATAGTAAATTCTAAGAAGATTGTTAATGCAATAACAGCTAGTATTTTCTGTATTTGTAGAAGCTGTTGATAATATTTGTGTATTTTTATCCATCTGGGAATAAGTGAAGTTGCATGCCTCTTCCAGAGGTTAAGGCCCTGCCTGTCGTTCCCGTTTGACCTTTTGTTTGGCAAAGTAGTGGGATAGAACTGAATGCCGCCTTTTCATGTCTGGCTGTTGCTATGTTTGCTTTTCAGTGGAATGGAGTGCCCACCTCAACATCTTAGTTCTGCAACCTGATCCCCTTTCAGAATATATTGCTGCTGTCTCATGGCTCTCAAAAGAGTCCAGCTGTAAGTACAAAGGCTTCTTTGACAAGTAATAGCGGAATTTAAAACTCTGAAAGCATAATTTCTAGAAAAGGTTTGCTTAGAATTCAGCCCCATGAAATCCGTAAGACAAACTTGAGTCTGTCTTTGCACCCGTAGAAAGCTGAGCAGTGTCTGACAGCAGCAGTCGAGTAAAGCATGTTGGTTCCCCATCTCTTCTTCCAACAGTTAGGTTGTGGTACAGGATATAGTGAGGATTAACCATGTTCTCTGGGTGAGGGTCCTGAATGTTCTTGACCCTCTTCTGTAAATGCAAAACTGTGGTTGAACTGTACAGCTATGTTTTAGAGCTTTGACTGAATTATGATTGCTTTTCCTAGAGCTACTGTTGTACAGACAAGTTAATTTCCAAGTATGTTCTCTGGATTGGTATATTGTGAAAGGTGCCTTCTGTTATGCAGTAAGGTTATCCAGTTATAATTCCTACAAGTTAGTGCTTAAAGGCAATCCTGTCCAGCCCTTACTGGCTATGATACACAGAGCTGCTTTGACAGCTATTCAGGAAGGTAAGAATTTCATGATTTAAAGAGAAGATATTCTTGGTTTTGCAGTGTTTGTGTTTAAACCAAATGAGCCACGGCCAATCTATATCCAGAGAAACCTTTGTAAAGAAAAGATCCAGCTTGCTGCCTTCGTTCCAAGAGATGAACCTGAAACGATTGGCTCAGAAAAATACCTTTGGCTAAGAAGATCCCAACTATTTTTTCTTACTGATACGCAAGTAAGAAATAGTGATTGGCAGGTGGTTCCTGGGAAAATCGTATTTTCCTGAATGTGGATTTATATGAATTCAGAGTTCTGTTGAGTGTGAGAGTGTGTGTTTGTGATTTCAAGGAAATGTAAACTATGCTTTGTGCTTTATTCAAAACTTTCAACTGCCAAAACAGCTTAAGTTCAAAACTGGTTATTTACTGGTTCTCTACTGCTGATAGCTTCTGCTGCCTTATTCGTACAAGAAACTAGATAATTTGGGAACATTGCCTGTGCTGTTTAACTTAACCACCTAGAAGCTATATTATTGCCGATTATAAAAATGTTTCATACGATACTCAGTTTTCCCTGTAATATGTGGGTGGGTGGTTTTCCTGTTTGTTTTCCCAAAAAGTCCATATAAAGCCTCTAGGTCCATTCCCGCTTTCTTTCAGTTTCTTTATAAAATAAAGAGGAATTGATGTGTTTGCCTCTTCCACTTGACTGACAAAAGCTTTTGGGCCAGTCAGAAGCTTCTGTAGGCAAGGTATGGGAATATGGAAAGCAAGCTTCACATACTGTAACTCTGCTACATCATTCTGTATTTTAGGAGCTAATGACGCTTAGCACAAAGTCTCTAGAAGAAAGGCTCACGCCATCAAGCCAACAGGTACCTCTTAAAGGAATTCTGGCAAAAAAACATGATACTTTTCTACACAAATGAAGCAAAAACACTTAATGTTTGAATAAGCTTTTTCCTTATCTTGGTTTCTTTAACACTTGGAACCTTGAGTGTGGCCTGAACTGTGCTTTCTGGTGAGGATGAACAGTTATCAGTCAATTGTGGCTTATCAGTGAGAACAAACTTCAGAATTACATTCCAGGATGTACTTCTGTGGAGGTGTACTCTGGGAAATTCAGTCTTAAATTCATGTTGAAGAAGCGTTTCATACTCACTGAATAGAATAAAACAGTAGCCCTTTATTGATTTATTCGTTAGATAAAATAGATCAAAGTAGAAGTTAATATCTTTCTAATACAAAATCCAATGGGAATGTGGTTATAAGCAATCAGTTTCTTTGGAGGGTGGGGGAATAATTCAGTACTCAGATTAAGGTACATTGATCTAGGAAAACGCCAGAAGGGAAGTTGCCATGTTTTGCTTCCAGTTGCATAATTAAATCACTGAGCAGACGATGCTGGGGTATAAATGATCTTTTAATCGTAAGTGGAATCTGAAAGCCATATTTAGTTTTTTCTGGCACATGTACCAACTTCCATATTTGGAAGTTAATTGGTACATCAACCAACTAAAATCTGGTGTCCTTGAATCCGGATCCAGATCCTGGAGAGTTTTATTACCTCTCTGTAGGATTCTATCAGGATGTCTGATGGAGAATGAGTATGAAGAGCCATATGGCTCAGTTGAGTTAAATTTGAGTGTAGAGATTTGTCATCTAGGTTGATTCTGAATTTTGGTAACTCGAAATGAAGATGGAATTTAGATTCGTGACACTAAAATTCTACTTAAAACTTTCACCTTTTTCAAGCTGGCAGTAGAAGAAAGTCTTCCTGTGACCCCGTTTAGCTTGCTATTGGGAAAGCACAGACGTCAGCAGTCACAAGAGGATATAGACCTTGGAAAATTAGTTGTTTGTAATAAGCATGAGCAAGACTCACCTGCCGTCAAAGAGGTAGGAGTAATTACAGTAAGTGTACAAACAAAATCATAACAAACAAAAGCATTCATAAAGCTTCTGGTTTATCTTTTCAGCTTCTGCACACTCCAGCACATGTTTTGCCATCTGCTTCCTTCCTCTGTCCTATATTTATTAATTCCTTGCTCATCTCCAAAGAGAATAAAAGGTAAGACAAATTGAAGAACTTTTCTTAGTTATTGACGTTATTTTAAATTATGTGCATCTTTGTTTAAAGTGTAAAAGCAGTTTTCCAACACTCTGCATTCTTCTATTGACATAAGTTAGTAGAACACTGTTGTGGCGAGATTTTTTAAAACTACTCAGATTTTGGGAGATAGGTGGACTGGCTGTTTAGTCTGTTGGCTCTATTGTTGCTGTTATTTTTGCAGTTGTTTGGCCAAATGTGCTCATAGGCAAAACATTGCCTTTGGTACTCAAATGTTTTTTATGAATTTAACTTCATTCCAGGGTTTTAATGGTTTTAGTAGTATTTTTGGATAATGTCAGCTTCTCAACTTTATTTGATACTATGATGATTTCCTGCATAATTCTTGGTTTAGGTTTCTAGATATGCCAAGAAGTTAGTCCATAGGTTTAATCTTAACAGTTTGTTTAGAACTCAAATCTTATTCCTAATTAAGCTACAAAACCTGTATACTGTGAACACAGTCAGCTAAGCTTGTCTTACAGTGCATTAGTCCCAATTTAATGGAGTAATTTGATAGGTACTTAAAATGTATTGTACCTTGCTCCTCTGAGATTGAAGTACACTTCTGGAAAATGAATGCAGGCACAGGGGTTATGACTGTAGTCTTGTACTAGGATTAATACCTCGCTAATTAAATGCTTGCATTTTTTTGTGCAATCTAATCTTTAAAGTGATATATGAAACTGCCAAGCCAGAGATGAAAATGTGTCATTGGTATCAGCTGCTGTTCTGAATTTGCAAAGACCGGGGAGAGGATGGTTTGCACTGCCAGCGTTTACCCAGAAAAAAACCAGCCGTTTGAGTAGTTTTCGCATGTGCATTGTATTCTGCCGTAGCAGTGCTTCTGCTACGTTGTGTTGGCCAGTGTTGCTAGCTTCCTTACTGGATGACACAAGTAAAAGCTGGGTTTTGCCACATCAGCAAAACACTGGCAAAAATCTAAATCAAGGAATATATAGAAACTTGTATGTAGTTTCAGTGCTGAAGAATTTGAGTTCAGTGGCCTGTGTAAATATTTGAACATGTAGAGTTTGTACTTTGACACAGGTAATTAGTATGACTGTGCATTTAAAGTTACATATAAGGGCTGTAGGATTGGGCTCTTGAAGAATGACAAGAATATGTAACTATAGATTAACTTATTTTCCTTGGCAGTATAATATTAATGTATTCTACATGTTTCACCATTTACATTTTGGGACTGATAAATAGTTTGTATTCAAACAAATGATTTTTAGGAGACCAGTGCTGTTCTGCTGTGCAGGTCATTCTAAATGAGATCCAAAATATTTATACAACAGACATTTGAATTAATAATATTAATTACCACATTGTAAATGGTAACTAAATGCTTTCTACTTCAGCACAAGTTTAACTCTTGAAGTCAGAAAGGAGCAGCCACTTTAAGCACCTCGCTATGCTTAAAAATTTCCCCAACAAACCTTTTTTTCCTTTTCTAGTAACACTCTAGGTATTGTAGCAATTTTTAAGACTAAGTGACCTTTTTCAGATATAAAAGAATGGCCTTCTTTGAATATTGTCTCATCTACAAGCATATCCAATGTTTCTAGTCTTGTAGGAGTGTGAGATTATGACTTGTTAGATAATGCTGATTTGCCTGTCCTGACATTATGTATTATATTTGGAGAAAGAAAAATACTTTGTTTGATGTTTACTTAAGAGGACAGCTCTTTGAAAAATGGCTAGTAATTGAGATGGCAGGAAAAGTACAGTAGTTTGTAAGTAGCCCAATATTGAAAAAAAAATCTGATGTTTACTTAGTTATTTGTGTGATAACTTAACCTCTCTCATAGGATGTGATACTATAGTATGTGAAAGTACCCATTAATTTCACTAATTGGGTTGTTTCTAATGATCTTCGTCTTACAGTGCTGAAGAAGTTGCTGATGAAGTAGAAATGGAAAGTGAAAAAACAGAGGATGATTCAGATGAGGAAAGAGATGTTACAGAAATGGAACAAGGAGATACAAGTCCTGTGGAATTATTAGGAAAGATGACATGTAAACTGTCTAAATCCCAGGAAAAAGAGCTACGAAAAATAAGAAAAATGGACTACAGTTGGATATCAGCTTTCTAAACAGACTTGTGCTTTTTTATACTGTAAAATGAAGCTTTATGGATTAAACATTCTTCAAAAAAATCTCACAAGTCCTTTGGCCATAAATTTTAGCAGGCTCTACTTCCATAAGAAAGGAGAACTGAGGAGGGAGGGATTAAAGTTTTTAAAAGCTGGTTCTGTTCCTAGTTTATTACTGATCCTGTGTGACCTTTAGAAAATGTTTAACCTGTGGCTTTTTTCCCCTTGCAAATGTATTTAAAAGGCTAATAGCAAAATTGAGTTTGTTATCTGACTTGTGATCAGTGAGCAAAGTGACAGCTGAGCTGCTGGAAGTCTCCCCTACTGAGGCTGGGCTATTGGTGCCAAAGCAATGGCAGCAAACAGCTTCAGTCAATGAGACTGCTTAATTCAAGATCTGGTAGGGGAAGTCAGGATAGTTCTTAATAGGGGCCTGTACAGGTAAGTAGCAAGTCTCCTCAGAAGTTCCTCTAGCTGTCGAGACGATGATGAGTGGTTTAATATGCCTGATTCTGGAATGTAGATACCGACGCGTTTGCTGGTGTTTGTAGAGTATGGAGATTCTTAGGCATAGGGTACTTATGTGTATCAGAGCACAATAAAACCTTTCCAAATACCAAGAAAACTGCACCATGTAGAAGGGAAGGTGTCTTTTCTTGACAACCATCTTAGCGGGCCTCCCATGCATCAGCTATAGCTTCTCAACTGTATCACTCACCTATGCAATATCAGAACATACAGTTAGTTTGAAGTAGTAGATTTGGAGGCCTGAAAGTGAATACAGCCTCCTGTGGTGTTGCAGTATGAAGGCAAGTGGATGGAAACTGCACAGGTCACTAAAAGCTCTGAGGAAACAGGAATGATTTGAAGGAACTCTTGTCAGTGAAACCCATGCTCTCCCTACTTCACTACTTCCTTTGAAAACAAAGCGGAGGGCCCTTTCCTCCATCTCCTTGGAAGGCAAGGAGTGGCAAAACTTGGGCTTTTGGTGGGGGGGAGGTTGTTTTGTTTGCTTGGTTTTTTTTGTTTTGGTGGGGGGGGGTTGGGATTGTTTTAATTTTTTTCTGGGGGGGAATGGAATATCCTACAACAGGCAAAATCTATTGTTTCCATCCACGTATAGAAGACACTGAAATTGTCATCAAGGAAAGCAAGTCAGAGTGGTTTTGCTGGAAGGTTTACTTCTCACATTTTAAGATGAATGCAAATGTTCATTTGTAGTAAGCAGTGCTGATGCTTGACATCCTGGCAAGTCAACCCTCACTCACCTCTGTAATAAGCAGTTCACAGACTGAAAGCTGGAGCTGAATGTTGTTACATTACCTAGACTGTGACACAGCAGTGACTTCACCTGTAAATTCAGCAATCAGGTACTTTGTATGTTGGGGAGCATGGTATGGGTGGGGGGTGAGTACTCCCCTCTGAACTCATTTTTTTTTTTTAAGAGGACAAATAAACTAAAAGCCGCTTTTTAGCATGCTAGTAGCCAAGTTTTGCTATAGTGCATTTCTTACCATTTGCAGCCCCTCACAGAGGAGGGGTGGGTAGAGCTACAGCTGCAGCCACTCATCCTGCTCACAGGTGGACTGACCCCAGCTGAAGTCAGTCAGACCCAGACCCCCCCATCCACAGAAGCCTTAATCCCAAGAAATGGAAAAGCTGCCTTTTCGCCAGGCAGACTCTGTCCCCTGGAAGGACACAGGTTCAGTAAGGGTCAAGAGAAAGCTGGTGCCTCATGGTCCACGCAGCTCCTGCACTGCTGGGTCAGGAACAAGAACAATGACGTAATACCTTGCTGTCGACTATGGTATACAGATATGACTGCTCCCTGAACCTTGGCAAGCCCTGCTTGCCGGTTTTGATCTACCGAGCTTGTCCTTGCGGCAGCCGATACTGCTATTAGCAAGACCGTGTGAACTTTGTGTGTAATTGTCACAGGCAAGAAGCTTGCAGAAATAAAGAACCTTACATGCGTCTCTATATGCAGTAAATGAAGTAACACCTACCAAACAAAAATGCACACTGGAATAGGGACAGGGTGTTCATTTCAAAGCAGACAAAGACCACGTACTCCAGAACTCAGCGATCGTTTGTAAACAGCCACTGCGCTGAAAAGAACTATTAAAACCAAGTCTACCTGTAGGTCTGGGTGCTGGCTGAATCAAAGTAAAAAAGTAGTTTAAAACTCATCATTGTAGAAAAGTGGAAAAAGTAGTGCACTTTTTTGTTTTGTAAATTTGCAGTCATATAGATGTCAAAACATTAACATGGGGAATATAAACACTTTCATTGACATTGCATAAAGAGCCTTACTTGGAATTTGTTTCATGCAGGTTAGACTGAACTGTCCAATGATAATGCATTGCATGCTTTTTGTATTTCCTTCTAATCAGACATAAATGTGAAAAATACATAATTTATTGTTGCAGTTTCAGACTCAACTGGCTAGGGTTAACTTAGTTACTTGGCAGCAGCCAGCTTCTGCAGCTCCTCATACAATAGAGTTACATACCATAGCTCTTCAGACTATTTATTACTTACAGCTGTGAGGCACATTTTCTTCTATAATAGATTACTTACATAGGACTAATGTTACTACAAATTTTAAGGCGAGTTTTTCATATTTTAGGCATTTTTGGTTTGTTGTTTATAGGCCTTGGTACGAGAGAAAAAGAATATATTTTAAAACCTGTAAAGGTTTTTCAAAATTGGTTTGCCTGGAAGTTCAGCTATTTTTTATTTCTAGCTCCCAAATTTACAGGAAGAGGAGGAGGAAAACACAATAGCACTGTCATAACTACAGCCAGTTTTCTGGTTTTGTATTTTTCTCCCTTTTTATAACAGCTGTTTAGATAACCTTCTGGCATACGTAGCTGAAAAGAAAAATCACAGCTCCCCAAATATTATGCAATTTTTATTTCCATCCCTCTTATCTACAGATCTAGAACGGGTACAGCCTTTGCAGAACCTTGGACCCAATGGATTTTTCCCTAAATGAAAAGTTTCAGCAGAACAAATAGGGAAAATGTGTTAAGACTGTAACTGAGAAATGGCAGGTTTTGAAAATTCAGAAGTTTTAAAAAATAGAAAAAAATAAAAATAGTAGTAGACAGATTTCACACCCCTCAAAACAAGCACTTTCCTACCTCAAAACAAGCACTATCCTAGGAAAGACACACTGAAAGGTTTGTGTCTTCTTTTCTTAAATAACATCAGACTTACTTCAGCTCTGGAAAAACAAGTGCAAAAGTTGAGCAGAGATATCTGCATGTGGTTTCAAAAATGCTGGCTGGATCAAAGCCTGGTATTGTATCAGCAACACTTAAGCATGGGTTTAAAGGTAAGGAAATCTCAGTATTTGTTAGTGTGGGGTTTTTTAAACTTCACACTTCTGTGAAAGTGCTTTACTGGAGAATAACCTGGTATGAATAAGAGAATTCAGATGCAATTCAGTTTCGTGTTCAGGAAGGAGAGCAGTGTGTCAGGAATCCTCATCAAGAAAAGATAGTTCCCAGTGTTACATTTTCTAATTTTTGTCATTGCTAAATTTGTTTTACTTTACACACTAGATTGAATGTACTGCCATAACAGAGAGTCCTCACTTTGTAGTTTTGTGTGTATGTTTTTCTACTCAAGCAGGAAATACATTTCTGGTTAAGAGTTTTACTATATTTAGTAGACACATTATGATCAACCTTCTTGAAAATGTCTTCTGAAAGATATTGCAATTACAACAATGAAGAATTTCAGAGGGAGGGCTGCAACTCATCTGTCTGTGCCTGCTTTGGAATGCTTTATTTTTAAAGCAGTTGTTTTTCTGCTGTTCCTCAATATTATTTTTTTTAACCTTGTGTATGTGCATCTCAGTGGCCATGAAAGTTCTCCATATTTACTGCGATGCCCTAAGTCAAATCTTAACTTGATTTTTTGGCTTCTGCTTCTTCCTTCTAATGCCTTCTTTATAAGGATTTTATTATTCTTCATCTGAAAGATTTGACATAAGAACATAGAGAAAGCTGTTGAACTTAATGTCGTGATTTCAGCTACATAAATACAACAGGTAATAAAATACCTCTGCAACATGTAGAGGTCAGCGTTCAATAATTCTGGGGTACCTCATGTCTCATCACAGGACAACAATTCTCATGGAAGCAGTCACAGCTTTATTTGGGCTGAGGAACAGACCGTGCAAGGGGAGAATTCCTTACTTCCAAAATTTTCCACTCAGACAAGCAGTTGGATAAACACACGAGGACCCAAAACTTCAGCAGCTATTGAAAGCATTATAAAAAATAAATAGACAGGCAAGCTCTTATGAAACACATCACGGCAGCAGGATTTGACTGAGATGCTGCTTCCCGGTGACACTGCTCAGATGTTGCTCTGAATGCAGAGGAGAGGTGACCAGTAATTTTAACCCACTGGCTGCAGTCAAGCTTAGTTCCACAGAGACTGACCTTCGGGGACCCTTTTTCAGACACCTCAATCTGCCAAATCCCAGTATGCAGTGAGCCTTTTAAAGCATGCAGTAACAACCAGAATTAGCATCAGCAGAGAATAGGACAGAGGAAAAAGATGACAACAACTTGCAATACAACTCGGGGGACTTCGACAGACCTTCTAGTCCTCCCTCCTGCCCTGAAGCGGAGTAACTGAGCTATACTTATTCCTGACATATATTTGTCTAATTTTGTAAGTCTCTGATAAAAGTCGTACTATGATCTATGTCATCTATTCAATGCTTACCTATTCTGGCAGTTTTTCCTAATAAAAGTAATCTTTCCTTTCTGTAAACTTCTTTGATAATAATCTTTAGAAAAAAATGAAAGCACGCTATTCTGTTTCCTTTAAACAAAGAAATCGCTTCCTTTAAACAAAGAAATCATCTCCTTTAACCTTTCATTTTTGTTTTTCTCTAGGCCCTTAGAAGCATCAGAATTATCCTCCAGACCTTGTTTGGGCTAATTGCTTACACATCAAATATTGTTCTGACTATTATGATTTCAAGTGCAAAATTTGTCAGGGTCATTCAATACTGATAA